ATTTTATGTTCTTATTTGGTTCTGTACATGAGAACTGATATAGTTACTAAGTGCAAAAAAGTGGATACAATCTTCTCGTATGGGGGACTTTGCTTAGCTGGTGATGCCGGGGCCTGGTCGGGAAGTCTCCCTCCCGACCTGGGGGTAGGACGAGCGTGACTCTGTGCAATTGAACAGAATGACGACCCGAACGGGAGAATCAGAATGACCAGAATAATCTCGTGGACAGGACTGCAGGGCCTTTATATGGGGGCTCAACAACCGACGTTTGACCTTCGCCAATTAACACTAAACTGGTTAGATCTGGACAGCTGTGTCCAGGTGTGGTCATGCCTGGGTGTGTCTTGGCCAGGTGTATTTGTAGGTCAAGTCACCTTCTAACTCAAGTAATTAGCAGACGAGGTCAGGTCCCTTGGGTTCTGACCCAGGGTGTGTCAACCTGGTATTTTGGGGTACCACGAGGCATGTACCCACTCACTGTAATATGCGTTGTAATTCTCTAGGCTGTAAGCTATGGTCTGATAATCACTCATTACACTCCTAACCTTCCCTCCTAACCTTCCTACCTTACCTCCTAACCTTCCTACCTTCCCTCCTAACCTTCCTACCTTACCTCCTAACCTTCCTACCTTCCCTCCTAACCTTCCTACCTTACCTCCTAACCTTCCCTCCTAACCTTCCTACCTTACCTCTAACCTTCTACCTAACCTTCCCTCTAACCTTCCTCTAACCTTCCCTCCTAACCTTCCTACCTAACCTTCCCTCTATTGCTTCCTACCTTACCTCCTAACCTTCCCTCCTAACCTTCCTACCTTACCTCCTAACCTTCCCTCCTAACCTTCCTACCTTACCTCCTAACCTTCCCTCCTAACCTTCCTACCTTACCTCCTAACCTTCCCTCCTAACCTTCCTACATTCCCTCCTAACCTTCCTACCTAACCTTCCATCTTCTCTCACTTGTTTTACCTACACCTTTCAGTGGGTGTTTCGGTTAGGTTAGGTTAGGTTAGGTTAGGTTTAGGTTAGGTTAGGTTTAGGTTAGGTTGGGTTAGATTAGGTGGGGAGGAGGCAGCGGAAGTTACTATGTCTTGAATAATGTGTTTACTTATATACGTAATTCTATGTATGTATATATGTATGTATGTATGTATGTATGTATGTATGTATGTATGTGTGTGTGTGTGTGTGTGTGTGTGTGTGTGTGTGTCAGTGATGCGGGCAGGAGAGTAAGCAAGTGTGGGCGTGTTACTTGAATTTAGGGTTGGTGGTTGACTCTAAGTGAGAGAGACAGACAGACAATCAGAGAATATTAGAGACAGACAGACAGACAGACAGAGAGAATATTAGAGACAGACAGACAGACAGACAGACAGACAGAATATTAGAGACAGACAGACAGAGAATACTAGAGACAGACAGACAGACAGACAGACAGACAGAGAGAGAATATTAGAGACAGACAGACAGACAGACAGACAGAGAGAGAGAGAGAGAATATTAGAGAGAGACAGACAGAGAATATTAGAGACAGACAGACAGACAGACAGACAGACAGAATATTAAGAGACAGACAGACAGAGAGAATAGTAGAGACAGACAGACAGACAGACGGAGCAGAATATTAGAACAGACAGGCAGAGAATATTAGAGACGGAACAGACAGACAGACAGACAGACAGAGAAAGATTGTAGAGACAGACAGACAGACAGACAGACAGGGCAAGAATATTGAGAGAACAGACAGACAGACAGACAGAGAGAGAATAATGAGACAGACAGACAGAATATTAGAGACAGACAGACAGACAGACAGACAGACAGACAGAAAAGATTTAGAGACAAAGACAGACAGACAGACAGACAGAGAGAGAGAATATTAGAGAGAACAGACAGACAGACAGACAGACAGACAGAATATTAGAACAGACAGACAGAAATGGCCAAGAGACAGACAGAGAGAATAACCCAAAGAGACAGACAGACAGAAATGGCCAAAGGGGAACAGACAGACAGACGAACGAACGGAGCAGAATATTAGAACAGACAGACAGAGAATATTAGAGACAGACAGACAGAGGAGAAATATTAGAGACAGACAGACAGACAGAATATTAGAGACAGACAGACAGACAGGCAGACAGACAGACAGACAGAATATTAGAGACAGATAGACAGACAGAATAGTAGAGACAGACAGACAGACAGACAGACAGACAGAATATTAGAGACAGACAGACAGGCAGACAGAATATTAGAGACAGACAGAGAATATTAGAGACAGAGAGACAGACAGAATATTAGAGATAGACAGACAGACAGAGAGACCGAGAATATTAGAGACAGACAGACAGACAGAATATTAGAGACAGACAGACAGACAGACAGAATATTAGAGACAGACAGACAGGCAGACAGAATATTAGAGACAGACAGACAGACAGAGAGACAGAGAATATTAGACAGACAGACAGACAGAATATTAGAGACACACAGACACTACCATAAATGCTCTATAGCTCTCTCGTATAATCAACCCTAAACCTAACCAAACCCAACCTAAACCTCACGTAACCTAACCAAACCCAACCTAAACCTAACGTAACCTAACCTAACCCTAACGTAACCTAACCAAAACCTAACGTAACGTAACCTAACGTAACCTAACGTAACCTAACGTAACCTAACGTAACCTAACCTAACCTAACCCTAACGTAACCTAACATTAACTGGACGTGACCTGTACTTACATAATCTATTTCACAACACTTTCATAATGGGATGCAAGAGCCAATCAGCTCACGTTATACCCGCAATCACGTGGGGGATTGCCAGACTGGGTTCTGGTTGGTTACTACAGCAAGTAAAGTCAGCCAATGGCGGAGTGTGTTTGAGGACAGTTATGATTAATGCCATTTAACTATGCAAGTGGGTGCTTGTTGACAGCTGTGTCTCAGTATGTATGTATGTATGTATGTATGTATGTATGTATGTAGGTGTATGTATGTATGTATGTATGTAGGTAGGTATGTATGGATGTATATATGTATGTATGTATGTGTTTGTATGTATGTATGTATGTATGTAGGTATGTATGGATGTATATATGTATGTATGTATGTGTTTGTATGTATGTATGTATGTATGTATGTATGTATGTATGTATGTATGTATATATGTGTTTGTATGTATGTAGGTATGTATGTATGTATGTAGGCAGCTACCAAACAGGGAGGTACTACCGCCTGGGAAGGTATTGGAAGCATAATGTGTTGTCTAATGGTAGACCCTGCTGCCATATGGCATCAAGAAAATTGTGACCAAGTCCCAGGTTGCTGATCTGACTTTCTGCCTCATTTACACACAATTGTAGGGTCTCAATTGTTTCTATTACATGACAAAACAACATACATATAGCATTTCTCACTGTTGATTTTTTTCATTCTTGCATTTCTTTGTATTTATTATTATCACAGTGTTGTTATTATTATTATTACCATTAATATTTTATTTTACTTTTTATTACAAATTTTATTTACTATGAATTATTATTATTATTAAATTTTCGCCCCCCGGGCCCTGATGTGGGTCAGTGACCTGGGCCACGGTGGGCTAATCCCCGTAAAAAAAAATGTATGTATGTATGTACCGAGAATGTAGACGTCATAGCAATCACCGAAACTTGGATGAATCTGGCGAGCAAAATTTTTTTATCAGAGTACCACAAAGAAGGGTACAACCTTTTTCACAAGGACAGGGAAGGTAGGAAGGGGGGAGGGGTCGCACTCTTCGTCAAGGATACATTAAAATGTTGTATTAATAATTCAATAAAGGGAGAAATAGGAACCGAGTCTGTATGGGTAGAAATCACGGAAGGAAGAGAAAAACTAAATATGGGAGTGATTTACAGGCCCCCAAGTCTTGGGAAAGAAGCAGCTCAGCCCATATGGCAGGAAATGAGTAGGGCAGCAAAATATAACAACCTGTGCATCATCGGGGATTTCAACTTCACAAATATTGACTGGGACAACATTGTAGGTGACTATGAATCTAAAGACTTCCTAGACGCAGTACAGGACAATTTTTTGAAACAACTAATTACTGAACCTACTAGAGGTGACAATATATTAGACCTAGTATTAACAAATAAAGAAAATATTATCAGAGATATCACAGTAGGGGAAGAACTAGGTAACAATGATCACAGAGAAATGAGGTTAACCCTAAATTGGGAAACAAAAAACAATGACAATATGGTCAGAGTCCCAAACTTTCGGTTGGCGGATTATCAAGGGTTAAGAAGGTACCTAGGTGAGGTAACCTGGGAACAGTCACGTCAGTCCCCAGTAGGAAGGGGTGAAGTCATAGATGACACAACAATTGATCATAAGAACATAAGAACATAAGAAAGTGGGATACTGCAGGAGGC